CTTTGATAAGAGATTGCCTCATCACATTCTCATCATTGGAGGATTGTCCCAACTCATTATCATTATCAAAGGATTGTCCTGACTCGTTATCGTCATCTTCGTGGCTTGACCATGGATCATATTGATTGATTCTCACAGTAGATTTCTCGACAATATCCGCTTGCTCAATCAGATCTTTTCATGAATTAGTCTTAACAACACCCATGTAGGCTCCCACTCAGTTAAGACAGTTGTTCTGGCATGTCTAGAGTAACATCGGCAGCAGCATGTCTCGGCATCATAAGGACATGTTATGAAATCGTTTAAAGTAATCTCCAATTGAATCATTAACCTTCTAGTTTTCTTATAGGATTCTGGCCATTATTACATTAGATGGATCCTCATGGAATTAGGATAAAAATTATGATTCCAAGTCCAGAATTTAATTCATCCTTTGGCCAATTACTAGAACCAATCAAAAGTTGCCCCCTAAAGGGTGTCAACAAAAAGTCTCTCCTTGATAACACCATTCCCTACTACATTGTCTATTTGCTGATGGAAATAGTAGATGCATTGGTTCGGGAACCTTTACTGTCAAACATGTATAACGTCGACAGCTTAAACTTCATTGGATAGGGAACTGAGTCCCACTCGATAGGATAAGGTTGAGTGATTCTGACCATCTTTATTACTCGGTCCTTTGTATAAGAGTGTTGAGCTAGTTTTGGAGGCTTTAGAATATTTTCAATTTACGTCTCGTCTTTAATAGATTTGACGTATCAGACTCTAATCGAGAGGGGAAGATATTTCCTTGGTTTGGTGACTCCTTGTCGAGGGAGATGTCAACTAGTTGCTTCCCTTTTGAAGTCCTCACAGGAGGCTCGGAAGCGAGCAGTTGTTGTTCAAGCATAACAAGATTATCAACGACCTCTTTGTTCACCATGTTGGCAGTCCACTCCCACTATTAACTTGAGCTAGGAGTTGTATTTGATGCTATGGCCTAGCTAGCATTGCTGGTGGGAGGATTATCCACCTGTGAAGGAGTTTGATGATTATACATCCTCACTACAGAACAATCGATAAGGACAGTTACCCCCTATCTCATCTAGTATGGTAATAAACACCATCCATCATAGGAAGTACTCTCCCTATGCTTCGAGAATATCTTAGATCTGATGGGTTATCACCATAATCTTCTTCTTCCAGGACTACACTAGTCATGTTAACCATGAACTCTTAGGGCTTGAGGTTAAAAGTCACCTTGTTCTTGCGAGATCGCCATAGCCACTTGCCCCTAAACTCTAAAGGTTTGGAGAATAGGGATAAATTGGCAAGCACCACCTCTTTGATAAATGGAGGTTATATAGGCAATTCAGGTTAACCACCGATACTATCTCCTTTAGGGCCAAACAATGCTGACATTGTCACGCCCTCTTTTGAGAGAGGAACTCCCTTAAGTTAGAAGGAGTATTAACTTGGCTATTGATGTGATGGTCGCTCTATTTAAAAGTAATTTCATTGGGCTAGCTTTTGTTATTAGAACATCTCCTAAGATGATATTCCTTTGACTTATGACTGACATGATCAATTGTGACTACATCACAAGTGTAAACTTATGATTGAGACTTAGAATCGCCACTAGGCAATAGTTTTCCCTTTCAAGAATTTGATTGGAGGGTAATCCCTATTTGTAGCTTCTTTTAAAGAAGCACGATGAGCGTTGCGAGATGCATTAAAGTGAATCCCCATAGAGGGTCACCAAAATTGCTCTTGGGGAAAGCTCATTTTGCCTCTATCGACACAAAGGCTGCTTTTGGCAACGTTCTACTCACTTTGGACGAAGCTTGGGTTGTCTTCGCTCTGAAAGAAGTTTGCTCTACGTCCAGCAAAGCTCGACCTGTCTTCAGAGAGGCTTGTCTTGCTCTCAGTGAAGCTAGGGTTATCTTCACTCTGGGTAAAGTTTGCTCTACCTCAAGTGAAGTTAGAGCTATCTTCGGTGAGGCTCGCCTTGCTAGGGGTGAAATTCGTTCTGACTCCAGCAAAGCTGAGGCTGTTTTCGATAGGGCTCGCCTTGCTGTGAGTGAAACTAGAGTTATCTTAACTATGAGTGAAGTTCGCTTTGCATCTAGTGAAGTTGGGGCTATATTCGGTGAGGTTCGCTTTGCTGACTACTGTAACAATTTCCCTTAGGATCATGCAATCTTGGTATTGGTGTACCCTCTTTAGAGAGAGAAACTCTCTTAGATCAATGGAGCTCCAACTTGGCTAAGGCAATTGCTCCTCTTAGGGGGCAACTTCACCTTTTTGGATTTGGGAAGTGAACATCTCATCTGATAGCGTTGTTTTGACCTTAGGCTATTATGGTATATTAGGTCCTTCTCCGAAGTCAGAGCTTGTGATTTGGATGAGGAATCACTACAAGTGATGCTTTTTCCTAGTGGAATCTTAAATGAGGTATTACCCCTATTTTTGCTTCTATTAAAGAAGTGTAGCGAGCATTGCAAGATGCCTTAAAGTGAAACCTCAAAGGTGTTGTTGATTGATGTCCAAAAGCAAAAGACATGTGATTGTCTTGGCTCTCATTTGTAGCGAGGGTCGATACTCCTTCACTCTAGGTGAAGTTCATTTGGACCTGTGAAGCTGAAGTAGTTTTTGGTGAAGTTCGCCTTGACAAGTGCGAGGGTCGATTTTAACCCTTTTCTTGCACTGTGGTGAATCTTGCAATAGCTCCTAGTGGTAGCCATCAATGATTTATCGGAGGAAATGAATTGCTCAAACTTCGCTTGGCCAAATTCAATGACTAGCATTAAGCGAAAGACCTAAGGGTCTTAGTGTCAGACTATGACACAATTCTCTCCTCGGATGAGAAAAAAATCTCCAGCGGAGTCGCCATCCTATTTTGGATCTCTTCTATGGCAATTAACATAGGTTACAACTCAAAAGATTATAATAAAACAAAGAAAAATTATATTTTTCGGGGTTCTTATCTATGTGCCGATGGAGCGTTGGTATTGTACTCTGTTGATGGTCCGACTAAGACGATGGATCTTTGCTACTTGATAATCTCTGAGTAAATAAATAACTATTTAACTCAAAGAGATATTAACAAATCATTTCTCACAAGGATAGTTGATTAAGCCAGATGACTAGCTGAAGAGAATGAATCCATTCTCACAAGGATCCTTGATCAAGCCAAATGATTAGTCGATAATAATGATCTATGAATATCAATGAGAACAGAGGAGAGATTGGCTCTTTATCGATGTAGCCTCTAAATACCTCTCTCTCCCTCTCTCTTTTCTCAATTGCAAAAAGCCTAGCCAAGATAATTTTAGCCCCCAAAGACTTTTCCTCCGCCTTCCTTTCCTCATGTAGATCATGCCTATTTATAGGCTAAGGAGCATTAGTGGGTGAGTTAGTGGGCCTTAACTCCCCTTAAATGGATGAGTTAGTGGGTGAACCATTTCCTAAAAAATAGGTTTCGAAAATGGTCATGGGCGAGGTCCGCCAATAACGGCCATGGGTGAAGTTCAACAATAATAGGCATAGGCAAAGTTCGTTGAGCGAATTTCACCAGAGTATGGGTAGCCCACATTCTTTAGAACGTGGGTGGCATGGCTCACATGGGCTATTGGGCAAAGCTCGCTTGAGCTAGCTTCATTGCAACATTGTGAACTTCGTTGTGGCTTTAGCGAACTTCGCTATGGCTTCTGCAAACTTCGCTACGGCTCCGGTGAGGTTCGCTATGGCTTCAGGGAACTTCGCTACAACTTTGGAAAACTTTGTTGTGGCTTTCGCAAACTTCACTATGGCTTCGGCGAACTTTGCTATGTAGCCCACGTGCACTATTTGTACGAAGCTCGTGTTGGGTGAGCATCACTGATAAGGTTGGATTTGACTCAGAATCGGACTTGAATACGTCTCTTGACACAGGAAGCCTTTCAACTCGACCTAGAGTCTGATTTGGGAGTTGACTCGGCCCCAACTACTCTTTAACTCAGGTGAACTGGGCTAGGGTCCATCATGCAGTCAAGTTCGCATGTGACTTGAGCAAACTTCATTGTTGCCTATCATGAGCTTGTGTTTTCGCCCACTTGAAGTGTTTAGCCCATAGGCGTTGACTTCTCGGACTCAAACTGAGCATTGGCTTATGAGAATGTATATTTTAACCATCTACAGTGATATTGGCTGGATGTGAATTTGATAGGTTATGCTTATTTGAGTAACTTGATAAGCTATGCTTAAGAATTCTAGAGTAATATGAGAATTAAAACATAATAGTTCTTAATTCTAAATTGAAATTAACTAGTGGAATTAATCCTATATTTCTAGTCTTCACTCTTGATTTCCTCCATCTTTTTACTTATTTCTTGGTTTGATTTCTTGTTTTGAGTCATCTTTGTTTTCTTTTTAACTATCTTCTATTTCTCTCTTTCTTCCCTCTTATTTTAGCCTTTCATTTTTGTGACAAAGCTATACTTAGAACACACCACTCTCATTCTTTGTTCCTATACGTTTCAAGAACCCATTTAGATTAGTCTTTCTAATACTCTCCTCCTCCATAGATCGATATTTATAAATATTATGATGTTGTGCACTTACAACATAGCATATTTTTATTCGCATCAGGTACTCAACTAAAATTGTTTGGAATTGTTTGGAAAAAAAAATCCCTAGTTTTCTTCTTCAGGTTACTTGAAATCATTATTTGCATTTATCTTCTCATGCACTATACCTATAGGCCATATTTGCCAAACTCTGATAGAATTGAGAAGCCTAATTGTTGTAGTAACATCTCCCAAGCGACAATATCATTTCAACTCTCAATATATTTAAATCTCAAACTTTCAAATTAATCATTATCCAAATTAAGAAACTTTTTAAAATTACATAATCTCTAAACTCCAGTTCCTCCTAACAATTCTACTTAAATATGACAAATACTTAATTCCAGGCATTACACATTCTTTCTTAGCAATCAAATAACCACAAAGAAATTGATTGCTGACTAAGATTTATACTTACAAACAAACAAATAAAGAGCTCTACATTAACTAAAAAGAGACTTCTTACAGAGAGGTTCTATTCTCAGCATCCTCACTCTTCTCCTCAATACAATGATCACTCATATATGAAACAGGTATAAAATAAGAGTACCACCTAGACCAAAAAAGATAGTTGAAAAAATTAAGCAAACTAAGTCCTGCAAGCATCCAATAGAACAAATCCAACCTATCCTTATTCAAATCATTATTGTTAAGCCATCCACCGCTAGAACCATCCAAATCTGTAACCTTGTTCACCAAAGAAACCAGCAGAGAGCTCAAAAAGAACCCAAATGAATAAGAACAGTAAGTCATTGCCGTACAAAATGCCTGCATTCCTCCTAAGGACTGCTTATAGAAGAACTCAATTAATCCCACGGCCGTAAACATCTCAGATAGCCCAAACACTAGAAATTGCGGTGCAATCCAAAATATCGACAGCATCTCATTCGATTTAATTGCTAGGTTCCTTCGCTTTTTCTCTATGACTGCAGCTGAGACCATTGAAAATGTTACAGTGAAGAGACCAATGCCAATTCTGTTTAAAGGAGAGATTCCTGATTCTTTGGATGTGAGTCTTCGGGCTAAAGGAATGATGGTCGTTTCGTAAATTGGGACTAAGATTATGAGCATTAAGTAAGGGATGGACTGAAGAGAAGCGGGCGGGATTTGGAAAGAGTTGAAGATTTGGGTGTTCATGGATCGGCCTTGTTGAACTGAGAAAGTTTGGAGTTGAGCTAGGATTGTGTTGAAAATTATGGTGCAGGCGAAGATTGGTATCAGGGAGAGTAGAGTTTTTGCTTGCTTCACTCCAGATTCAGTGCAGGGTTTGTGTTTGTTTCTGTAGGAGTTAGATTTGGTGCAGGCTTTGTCCAAAAACCTACGACGTTCAGAAAAAAAATTATAGGATTAATGTGTTAGAAACTAAGAGTCGTGTGACGAGTATATCATGTCTATAATATGTTAGAGAGATTTTAGTGTATAAGGCAGGTTAATTTGACAGGGGAATACAATAGAGAAAATTAGCAGTTCGGCGGTATACTAGAGAATATATACGTTAAATAGGCGGGAAAAATTAAATATACCTTAATTTAGAGAAAAAATCAGCTTATTCAATTCTGATTTATTTATTTCAGTGATCATGAATATCAGATATCTACACATGGATGCTATGAGGATCAACCGACGAAAGAAAAAAAGGGGACTCAAGTTATCGATCTATTCCATTAATGACAATCCTGAAGCCTTCGTAGTGATTATTACTCAGGAAAAATTAAAAATAATCTAGGGAAAAAATTCTTTGTCGGTGAGTTGCATATAATAATGTTGGTCTGTACCTGAATTTGTGGGCATGGAGATTGCCAGCATTTGAAGAGGACTCATGGCCAGAAATTGTGAGGTGATAATTTGCAATATTTTGGCTATGATGAATTTTATCAGCATGAGATGTGCATATTTGCTTTCGCTCAGTGATTGCAGAGAAAAAAACCTGTCAAATTTTGAATCAATCTCATGTCAAAGGAATATATAATGATATGAGACTGGACAAACCATACAAGATGAATATATAAATGAAAGATGTGAGATCCTGAATGACATCAATATGTACAAACAATCAAATGTTCTTCTTTACCTCAAGAAAATTCTTACATTAAAAAAATTAAGCTATTCTGAGTATTGATGTCTCTGTACTATAATAAAAGTTGAATGTTTTACATTCTAAGTAATACTCTTGCTTCTAATAAATAATTTTTTTATTATTCATGGATTTTTTCCTTTTTCAGTGCATAAAGCCTTTTCTCTGAACCAGAAAACATCCCTTGGCGTTCACCAAAGTATAAGTCCTCTTCCATGGTTATAAAGGTTGAACAATTCTCTATTCTCTATCAGCAAATTCTACATGACAAAATGGGAAGATAATTTATCCAAAAGGTTACCCCCAAAACTAAAAGTGTACCTGATCAAGCTAATATACGACAATGCATGATACCCTTACAGATATAGTAAGACATCTTTGTTTCTGATTTAGAATCAGTATAAAACTAAGACATCCAGGAAAAAGGTCTATGACTAAATTAAATCCAAGAATCTACTACGGAACTAGTTGTTTGTGTAAACAATTTATTTTAAATTGCCTAACCATGAGTTAGCAAGTATTAATCAGCTAGAATCACTTTTGAATCATAAGGAGGCCAACTCAGATCACCCATTTATTGAACTGGTTAGATGTGTGAAAGGTCACTGCCACTTCACTAAAACTCCAAAGGTGTGATGAGGTTGAAGGTTACAGTTTTATACTCTAACATGCCCCTACAAGTTGAGCATAGGCTGAATTCTGGACTCATATAATAGTGTCAATTTTTTGCAAATTCCTCTTTAAATTTAAGGCCGATAAGAATTAAGCTCTAATACACCGTCGAAGGTCCCTATCTCTAACTCCAAAATTATGGTGAAGGTTGAAGGTTATAGTTTTATACTCTGACAAGAGTAGGTCTAATCGTTGACATTAACAAACGTGACCTGAATACTCCATAAATATAATTAATCCATTACTTAAAGATGACCGATCTTTATAATCACTGATCAGAGTGTTCAAATTCTAAGGCTGTTAATGATAATGTCAAGCTCCAATCTTGTCACCACAATCAAATTCTTTTCGTTAAAATTAAAATGTCACATTTGGGTTCTTTATTAAAACAGGTTAACCAGACAGGTGCAGGTTGGGGATCAGTTTGGTGAGATGACCTGAGTCTACGCGTATAAACAAATATAATTGGACATATAAAGTGTATACTAAATTTTCAAAAATCACTTTCATATCCGTGGACTCAAATATTACCCTTGCAATTGGAGCAAAGATGCTACCCTGAGGAGGCTTGTTACTGTAGAACACCATGCCACACATCAAGCTAATCAACCCAATTGCCATGATCACTGCCGATACCCCAAACCCTATATCCATACCTGAATGCGTCTGGATCCAAACGACAACAGTCAAAGCCATCATTTCTCCGGCACAGAAGCTGAAATATGCAGTGTTGAAGTAAGTAGAGAGCTTCCTGGATTGATTTGGATCATGTTTGGTGAACTGATCAGCCCCATGAGAGATCATGTTAGGCTTTAGGCATCCACTCCCCATGGCTATCAAGTAAAGGGCAAGGAAGAGTATGGAGGCTTTGTAGCCTTTTGCTTGTAAGCAGTGTTCTCCTTCGGCCATCATGTTGCATTTGGGTGGTTTTAGTTGGGGTAGATGTGCTTGAATCGATAATAGTAGAAAACCCTGATTAAAAAGATGGCATACAATCAGAAAACAAAACATATATACAGGCATAATTCGGCAAGGAAGAGTGAAATAATTAGATTTTGTCATGAATTTTTGACATGTCATCGCCACCATGGACTGTGTTCCTATTGATAAAGCACTACACATGGTAGTACATGATAATCTAGTACAAAAGGACAATATCATGGTGCTCTTGTGGAAAATGATTGAAGTCCGTGATAGTTTTTGAGAATTTGATGCTGAACACCTTGGTAACTGATATTTGCCATTTAGGTTAAAAAAAATCAGTAAAAAGAGGGGGTGCTTACAGAGAGCTCCACCAGGCCAAACACCAACATTGTCTTAAAACACCCAAGATATGAATCAGAGAGGAAGCCACCAAGAAGGGACAACAGGAAAACAGTGCCAATGAAGTTGGTCACTATATTTGCTGATTTGGACAAAGGAAAGTGCATCTCATTGAAAACGTAAGTTATCAAATTGTTGCCAACTGCAGCAATCGCCATAATCTCAAATGCTTGTAGACCTGAATTAAAATGAATCAAAAATTTTCAAATATTAGCGTGCTACGAAACGCCACTCAAGTCAGCATAAAACACATTTTTTTGAGAAAAATCAACACGTGGGTGTCTTGGATTTTCTATAGCAGGCATACGTCAAACAGATGAGGAGCAGGCATGAGACCCTAAGCTAAAATGGAGCAAGAAGTCAAGTATTGCTCTACTCTGGAGCTTCACTCGAAATAGTACCCCATACTTAAAAACAAAGAAGCATGAAGACCCAATCATTCAAATCGACCGTAAACCACATCATTAGCCTAGATATAGTAAATTCCCTTTAAAGTTTCAGAAAAATCAAGATATGGGCATCTTAGACTTTCTATGATAAGTACACCTCACATGAAGAGAGTTTAGACAAAGAGTGAAAGACCTAGAACGAAGGAAGCTGCTCTCATGCCTCCATGCTTGTTGGGGTTACAAGGTCTGCCCCTCCAATCGAAGGATAACTGATCGGAGGAGGTACCATCCCCGTCGAGGCTCTCTCTTGTGCGCTCAACTTCCATATTTTGTTTGCTGAAGAAAGCCTGGAATGATTAACTCCCCCTTCGAGGAGAAACTCTCAGCGAACCATCTTCTTCCAACAGATCGCTAGACTAGCTTTCTCACGCACCAGGTGGTATTTATAGTGCGGAGGGGGAGCTTCTGGGTTTCTACTGTGGATAACGTGTGGAAAAAAAAAAACAGGTAAGGCCAGGCCACCACAAAACAGGTGGTTTAATTAGCGCGCTAAAATTAATCCACGGACAATGACAGCTTTAATCTTGTAAGGGTGAATTTCCATAATATCCCCATGAACATCGGGGGTTTGCGCAAAAAGCCTCTAAACTTACATATATAGATCAGAGAAAATATCCATGAGAGCTCAAAATTATACTAAATACCCCGTAACCTACACATTAGGAAATCTCATAAATAACATGGTACCGTGAAGGGGTCTCGTGAGATATGCTTGTTGTGTCCTTGTTCTCCCTCATTCGACCGTTGCCGAATAAATCCAAGGGCCTTACGATTAAGTTTCTTCCACTCTGACATTAATTGGACCTAGATTTTGAGTTCGGGCTTACATTATTTGCCGTCTCCTAAAGACGCGTAAAGATCCTCACAATATAGTAGATTATCAGAGTTAAAATCCTATTGCCATCGAATACACGAACAACTCACATGCACATTGTAGCGGGACGACATTGTTCGGATCCCAAAAGAGGAATTCCAGCCCAAGATCCGTGTGGGAGTAGAACAATCAAACGCAGAATAGGCAACACAAAATTTCCGGAATGGAAATAGCAAGAGTGTTGTGCGCGGAAGACAATTGTTGTGCTTCGAGAAACTAAATCAAACAAACCAAAATAACGACAGAAACACAAGCACACCAATTTTATGGTTCGGCAAGTTATCTACGTCCACGGGCAAGAAGGGGATGAGTTTTCACTAATAGAGAAGTGTTGTGCGAGGCAATTGAAGAAATGCAGGAAACAGCAAAGAATCAGCCAGGAAGACTGGCGGTCGACCGCCGCGGTCGACCGCGAACGTGCACGAAGGCTAGTAGGATTCGGAGCTGATGGCGGTCGACTGCCGCGGTTGACCGCGGATGACTGTAATCGATTTAAGTCTCGGGTTTGTGGTTCGCACGGTCGACCGCGATACTTGAGCGGTCGACCGCAAACTGGATTGGGCTGGGCTTTTGGTTTTTGACCCGGTTCGTTTTTGAGTTGATATATAACCCTAAACCTGATTAATTATGGTAGAGCAAGGACGATTTTGAGCAGTCTTGGAGAGAAAATTATTGCATCCAATTGTGGAAGAGTTGTGAGAGATCTAGAGCTTTGTTTTAAGGTTTGATCTGTGAGATTTGTAACTCTACTTGTATTCTCTAATTTCTAATAGTAAGAACTCCCCCCTCCTTGCCCCGTGGACGTAGGCAACTTGCCGAACCACGTAAATCGTTTGTTCTTATTGTGGTTGTGTTTTGCTTATTAGTTATGGTTTATCTCGAGTTATTGTTCGTGTTGCACAAGAAGCTTCCGTCGCGCACAACAATAACTCGAGATAAACCACAACCAATAAGCAAAACACAACCACAGTAAGAACAAATGATTTACGTGGTTCGGCAAGTTGCCTACGTCCACGGGGCAAGGAGGGGTAAGTTCTTACTATTAGAAATCAGAGAATACAAGTATAGAATTACAAATCTCACAGATCAAACCCTAAAACAAAGCTCTAGATCTCTCACAACTCTCCCACAATTGGATGCAATAATTCTCTCTCCAAGACTGCTCAAAATCGTCCTTGCTCTACCCTAATTAATCAGGTTTAGGGTTATATATCAACTCAAAAACGAACCGGGTCAAAAACCAAGAGCCCAGTCCAATCCAGTTTGCGGTCGACCGCGCAGGTTTCGCGGTCGACCGCGGCGGTTGACCGAACCACAAACCCGAGAGCAAAAATC